AACATATGTACTTGCATACATTAAGTTTTCATGACAAAAATATTAAGTGCAAAAACAATTTGAATTTATTTCTCAACCAACCTGTATGGTAATAAGTGAGCCTGCGGCAAACTGCTGTATATAGCTAGCAGGCATGCAATTTTAAAATATAAGGCATATTTACATATCAAATGATTCGTAGAGTGTGCAACAGTTGACTTCCAGCACATCGATGTTGGTGCAAATTTCGGCTGCTGTTCATACTTTGCAGCTCACTTATTTACTTAGCTCCTTCAGGCGTATACATACGCAAATGTACATATATTTACATCGATGTACTTAAACACATACTTTAAAAATACATAAAACGATACTAAAATTACTTCTTCATTTTCTTTAATTTTTGACAATACTCCAAATATTATCAGATTGCTTTATTGATACCTCATCAGGACTTAGTTTTTTAGGCAAAGCAAATTCCGGTTCATCCGGCTGATCGTGGGCTCGAAATTCGTAAGCAAAAAATTCATACAAATACATAAGTTCCGGGCTGATATAATGAAAAGCTACCGGATATTTTGAAAGACAATCTCTGCACTGAAAAGTTATATGAAAATGTAATTAAGAATTTATGTATTTTTCATGGAAATTGCCAACACTTGTATCACTTACCGCACGCGGATTATAAAAACTGTAGTCAAAGAACCAAAAATCATCTTGTAGATATGTGGCCAGTAAAACTACATGCGCCTCAAATGGGTAAAAACGTATTTCACCATGCGTGTCACGTGAATCGCCGGCAGTAACATTTACGGCACGCAAACAACGACCCATCGCCCAATCTTCCGGTTGTGCATCGTTGATAACATCACATCCGGTATTATTAACTATAGCCGATTCAACAAAGCGACGAAGAGACTCACGACTTAAAACATAGCCGCTACCGCCAGACATGTAGACCTTGGAATTAAGACATAATGAATATTGCATATACATATACATACATATTAGTATCCTAATAACACGAGAAGATATAATTAACTAAAGAGTACTTAATATTTAATATTCAGATCAAAAAGTAATTAAAACGATTTTTTTTTTTTAATATTAAATAGCAGAGAGTTTTTTTATTAGAGAGTATTGTTGGAGAGTGTTTTGAGATGTGAGCAAGGCGAATTCATATAAGGTGGTGTTGCTAGAATACCTGCTTTAATTCGCCTCGGTACACATATGGTCGTGTCTTTGTTTGGAAATTGTTTTAAGCTTTATTCGAACGAATAGCGTATTGAAAAAAATAAAATATCTTAGAATAGATATTCATAAAAAATAAAGTAGTTTTAAAAAGCTTTATAAACTGACTTTTTCATAAATTTTTCAATTTTTAACCTTTTGTAAAGTTACTTTATTTTTTTTTTCTTTGAACAAGGCTATACAAATTTAAGGAAAATTTAACCAGAAAATGAAGAAAATTAAATCAAATAAGAAGAAAATAATACCCAAAAATTAAAAAAAAATATATATTGTTTTATTTTTAAAACAAGATCTAAAAAAGACAAAAAAATAAGATCCTAAAAAATTAAATGAAATAAAAAAAAATTTCTTTAAAAGCAATAAATTCTAAAACCGAAGAGAACATTAAATTGAAAAAAAAAACATAAAATGTTTAACTAAAAATAGAAAAAAATATGTTTCTATAAATTGAATGAAAGTAAAAAAAAAAATATGTATATTATTTTAAAACAATAAAATCTAAAAAAAAATTAAATACGAAATGAATTCTGATAATTAAAAAAATAAAATTTAAAATAAAAAAAAATATAGTAGAAAAAATGACGTACAAGAAATGACTAAGAAATTGTCTTGAGTAAAAATTCGTTACGCTTTCTACTACGGTTTTTTAAAGTCTTTTGTGAAAAGGAGCACAAGGCAACCCATGCTTGCAACAAAAATATATTCCCGTTCCATTATTCCTTGAGAAAAGAGTGAGGCAACAGGCTGGTGAAGTATTAGATGTCCAAATTCCTTGGACACACACACGAAATATTGGCAATTTTTTTCTGGACCCTTTTTGTTGAGAGTTGCATACTGGACTTTAAAGTGTAACGGTGCGTCTATTGCAATTTTTTTCATGAAGAAAAGTGATTGATTACCCGTAATAGAAAAATTATTTTAAAAATTCTTAAATTTAGCAAATAATTTTTTTATAGCTCTGTAAGTTCAAAGCGAAAAGTTGAACTTGCAATTATTTTAACTGCATTTTCAAATTAAAAAAAAAAAACTGAATAGTTTCACTGAGTTCCGACTTGAAATTTATAAAAACTAATTCTGTGAAGTGTTGGCTTTACGATAAAATATACTAATTTTGCGCGCTTTTACGACACCCATACAATTGTTTTCAATTTTCAGAATGATTTTCCAAATATCGCGACAACAACCCCAACAAGCTGCGAGTAACCAAGAGTTTCGAGCGATTTCAAAGTTTGTTTTTATTGGAACCCCTTTTGAATTTTAAAAATTCGTGGTCAGACTCATAATCAGCGAACTCCCAAAAAAACTCCGAAAAACAAGTTTCGAGCGAATTCAATCGATTGTTAGATGCTCTATTCAGATCACTGTGCTGAGTCGGCATTTTGACTCTGTGGTAAAACCAAACAGGAAATATGGAGTCGAAATTGTTTATTACCGACTAATATCATTTCGTTAGAAAAGCCAGACTTTTTAAGGTCCATTTAAAGAGAAATACATACTTAAATATAAAATTTAAGCGCCAGTTTGTACAGTGTGTTAAATAGCCCAGAGGTTTGTCTCTGACTCAGGTAGGAAAGAAGCAATATTACATACTTTATCATGCACATGCATTTTATTTGTCCAATAAATANGGAATGATTTTCCAAATATCGCGACAACAACCCCAACAAGCTGCGAGTAACCAAGAGTTTCGAGCGATTTCAAAATTTGTTTTTATTGGAATCCCTTTTGAATTTTAAAAATTCGTGGTCAGACTCATAATTATCGAGCCAAAAACCCACGAAAAACAAGTTTCGAGCGACTTCAATCGATTGAAAAATTTATTCGCCATATTGGATCAGCCATATTGGATATTTGAGACCTGACTTAAAATTTGTAATCAGTGGTTTCATAAATTAGTGGATACGAAGTGTTGTAGAAATCCATCAACGCGAACCTGTTCAAACAGTTTTGTCCCGCTAGATGCTCTATTCAGATCACTGTGCTGAGTCGGCATTTTGACTCTGTGTTCAAACCAAACAGAAAATATGGAAGCGAAATTGGTTATTACCGACTAATATCATTTCGTTAGAAAAGCCAGACTTTTTAAGGCCCATGTAAAAAGAAATACATACTTAAATGTAAAATCTAAGCGCCAGTTTGCACAATGTGCTAAATAGTGACTAAGTTAGGAAAGAAGCATTTTCCGTAATTTCACCCTCTTTAAGAAAAGGAACTGAATGGAATGGAAATATGGGTAGACAGAAAAACCAAAGGCAATTTTCCCAAGCACTCCGGCAGTATTGCCCATTGTGTTTAAGGCCTAGAGAGAGGATTTTCTCCGTGTGTATTTAGGATTACTAAAACAAAGTATGCCATAATTTTTTACATATTTAAGAGACTAATCGCGACTGATTACACCATATGACTTTATACATATGCCAAGCAGAAAGAGTCACTGCTACAACAAATATAAATATACGAACAAAGAAATATTGATATTAATGTAAACTTGTGGCAAATAAGTCGTTGAAAAACAATATTACATACTTTATCATGCACATGCATTTTATTTGTCCAATAAATATTTTTTCCTTTTTCACTTTTATTTGAAACACCTAAAAGTATGCTACAACTTAGTGCATTTGTTGAGATTCCTGTGTGTTGTTGTACTTACTACTCTCTTATTATTATTATTATTATTATTATTTTTATTCGCTCCTTTGTGATGTGCGTTTTATAATCTTCTTCGGCTTCCTGTATATCCTTCAGCACGCTTACAGGCAGTGCACGCAGTTCTTAAACCTTTCTGCTGCATTCACTTCTTGCCACTTTCTTACAATACATACATACTACTCTCTCTCTCTCTCTTTGTTTCTCTCCATTAAGCCTTGTGAATATTTACATTTTCTGTGCAGCGCTACAAAGTTGCATTATTGCTGCACTTTTACAAGTAACCCCTCAAATGGGTAGTGAATATTTTATGATTAAAAAATAACTGAAACAAAAGCATTTTTATGTTGTTCAGACGCGTGCGAAAAAAAGTGAGAAAGTTTTACATAAACTTTTTACCACTACGGGCTATGTTGTTTACGAAAGCAGAGCGTGAATTTTTACTTCTCGTCAATGGCTAAGTTTCAAGTAAGAATAAACAAAAAAAAAAACAATCAACAAAAAAATTTAAATTAAAAACAACATAACATTCGCGAAAAAATTCTTCGAACTTTGGCGCTTGAGCTTGTGTTTTGCACATTTTTTTCTCAGCAAACTGAGCTCATTAAGTAAGGTATTTGGAATTCGCGAAAGTGGATTTNATAGCACATTTGTTGAGATTCCTGTGTGGTGTTATACTTACTACTCTCTTATTATTATTATTATTATTATTATTTTTATTCGCTCCTTTGTGATGTGCGTTTTATAATCTTCTTCTGCTTCCTGTATATCCTTCAGCACGCTTACAGGCAGTGCATGCAGTTCTTAAAACTTTCTGCTGCATTCACTTCTTGCCACTTTCTTACAATACATACATACTACTCTCTCTCTCTCTTTGTTTCTCTCCATTAAGACTTGTGAATATTTACATTTTCCGTGCAGTGCTACAAAGTTGCATTATTGCTGCACTTTTACAAGTAACCCCTCAAATGGGTAGTGAATATTTTATGATTAAAAAATAACTGAAACAAAAGCATTTTTATGTTGTTCAGACGCGTGCGAAAAAAAGTGAGAAAGTTTTACATAAACTTTTTACCACTACGGGCTATGTTGTTTACGAAAGCAGAGCGTGAATTTTTACTTCTCGTCAATGGCTAAGTTTCAAGTAAGAATAAACAAAAAAAAAAACAATCAACAAAAAAATTTAAATTAAAAACAACATAACATTCGCGAAAAAATTCTTCGAACTTTGGCGCTTGAGCTTGTGTTTTGCACATTTTTTTCTCAGCAAACTGAGCTCATTAAGTAAGGTATTTGGAATTCGCGAAAGTGGATTTTATGCTCAGCCTCGTTATTGCAGCAGCGCTTATTTACGTTGAGCTTTGGCGCCAGCAAATTTTTGCTAAAATACTTTTTGTCTTGCTGTCCTTAATTGTAAGTAGAAAAATTTTACGATGTTAGTTTAGGATCGCTCTGTGTGCTAAAATTATATTATTTGTTTATTGTTTGCTCCTTCGGCGTTTAGTTTGTTCACTCACGTCGTCCTGGTTCTTCCCAGTTTTGTAACTAGAGAGATAGATAGATAAATGCACGAATGTCAGAACCAGAGGCACTGCGACCTGAAGGCTATTTTTTTTGTATCTATAAAGAGAATTCTTAACCCAGTATGCCCAAGACAGCCCCGGCTTCTGCAATGAATCCAAAAAGGGAATTGGTAGCCAAGTTCTTTGTTTCTAAGGGTTTGACCATTGGAGCTTTTAAGTAAGTCAAACTTTGTGTAGCCAGTGCTGATCACTCACNTTAGTGCATTTGTTGAGATTCCTGTGTGTTGTTGTACTTACTACTCTCTTATTATTATTATTATTATTATTATTTTTATTCGCTCCTTTGTGATGTGCGTTTTATAATCTTCTTCGGCTTCCTGTATATCCTTCAGCACGCTTACAGGCAGTGCACGCAGTTCTTAAACCTTTCTGCTGCATTCACTTCTTGCCACTTTCTTACAATACATACATACTACTCTCTCTCTCTCTCTTTGTTTCTCTCCATTAAGCCTTGTGAATATTTACATTTTCNACGGGCTATGTTGTTTACGAAAGCAGAGCGTGAAT